GATCAGATCATCACCTTTAAATGGTTAAAGGAACCGATTAGAAGTTTAAATTACAACCTCTGAATCATTTATACAAGCAACAACTCTTTGTATAGTAGATTCTACATAATTTCCTTCTTTTTTAATGAAGAATTTAGACTTGGTTTTCCTTTTAACTATCAATCTAGACAAGTAAACGTTATCTCCATAAAAATACAAAGAATTATTTATAACATTGATCAAGATTAGTTTTTACAGCTGAGACCTGGATATATTGCTGTGTAAAGAAATGGGGAAAGTTATCCACCCTAGTGGTCACACTTGAAAAATAAAACCAATAATGATTTAGTTTGTTTGTAAAAGCAGAAGAGCTTTAGTGTCGTTCAAAACCTCCTCAGCAGCTACATTTACTCTGCTTTTTTATTTTCTAGGTCTTGTTTTATTATTTAAATGAATCTGTTTAGATTTTACGTGGACAGATTGTCTTTATTTATTTTGTGATAGAAAATGTAAAGTGTTGAACGATCTTTAATCTGCTGTACACACAGGACAGCCTCATCAGAAGGAAACTGCTTTACGACTTCTTGCTTTTTTTTTTGCAGACTATCGCCAAAGTTCTCCTGCAGTATAGTGCCATCCTTACCAAGAGTTTTCCTTCATATATCGACAAGGAGAAAATTGTAAGTTGTTCTGTTTTAGGTAACAATACTTTCAATGAGTAACGTTAAGGAATATTTATGCATAATTAAAGTTGGACAATATTTGAATATCACTTTATATCACAATATAATTGAATTCAGTAATGGTTTTATAATTCAATTCAGTTCAGTTTATTTCTATGGTGCCAATTCACAACACGTCATCTCAAGGCACTTTACAGTTTACATATGTAATGTATCTGAAAAAGAAACGCCCTACTTTATTGTTACAGGACGTTACTATAGGAACAAAGATGTAGGCGAAACAGGGCTGTACGTTACAACTTTTCAGTTATTGTGAAGTTGTAGTTGATTTTTATTAAGCTTTTATTCCTGATTTTTTATTCTGTTAAAGTTTTTCATATATTTTGGAAAATGCTTAGTTTCAGTTTGGTTGTCTTTAGCCTTAGTTATTATTTACTTAGCTTTAGTCTCTTATGTATTACGACTCACATGACGGGAAAAGGGAAAAACTGAAGAAAAAAAAAAGAAAATCCTAAAAAGCACAGAGGTCAATTCTATAGTGGCAATTCACAACACGTCATCTCAAGGCACTTTACAGTTCAACCAGATCATCCAGTTAGATTGATTCAAAGTTTTCTATGTAAGGAAAACCAGTTGATTGCATCGACTCATTGACAAAGGTAATCCCTCACACTAAGCATGCATGTAGCGACAGTGGAGAGGAAAAACTCCCTTTTAACAGGAAGAAACCTCCAGCAGAATGAACAGTATATGGCATTAATTAACTCTGTTTAAGGAAAATCATCAAGATGCTTTCAGAGTATTATTAAAACCAGTTCAAAATTTTCTATTTAAGAAAAACCAGTTGATTGCATCGACTCATTGACTCGAAGGCAATCCCTCACTCTAAGCATGCTTGTAGCTACATATAGATATAAGGTGTTCTATATTTAAGAGTACGTTAGATTCTATAGTTATGGTTTTTGCAACACACTAACTGTATTAGTACCAATGCTCACCACAGGCTCAGAATTATTTCCTTCTGTAATCATTTTTTAAATGTTTTCACTGCATGTTGTTTAAATCAATATCAGGATATTAACATATTGACCGAAATTGAGAAATATATTTTGATATAATTATTGGCTGACTCATAATTATTGATAATAGTTCTAAGACTGAAATCGGATTAATTGTAATTAACTGATTGTTGAAATACTCAACTAATTCAGTAATGATTTATCGTTAGAGATTCTAAAACATGCCTTTAGTTGACAGAAAGACCTACTTAGTGCTACTTAGAAAATGTTTTTTTTATATATATTTTACATTTTATTTTTCATCTGTCAAGGCTGTAGGACTTAGAACGCTCAGGCGTGGTAAGAGAAGAGAAGATACAGCTGATTTATTATTTTATATTGCGACTTAAACATTATGCTACTAATAAGAAAATGCCACCTTTATCAAGGATAAAATTACTGTCATACAGCATTTTTCATTAAATCAAATCCAGAAAGTTTTTTTGTAGGTGTTAATAAATTTACTGAATAGGAGGAATTCTTCAGATGCAACTGATTTATTTTCATTAGCGAGGCAAAAGAACAGAAGTGCTTGTTGTGGAACACAACATTACTATAAAACTCTGTGTAGGTGTATGTCAGGTAGATTAAATGTCACTTAGTTTAGTGTGAAAATTAATGGAAGAGTTGTATGAATTATGAATAAGATTTTCATAAACAACTTATAAAGGAGTAATTTTTTTTGCTTTCTTAAATGTTATGTCAAACATTTTGTGCATGCAACCTTGTCATTTTATTTTTCATCTGTCAATATTACGGTGGCCCTGAAGTGCAAACTGCAACTACAAATCTAAAAGCGCAACTACATTAAGGAAAACACAATTACATTAACCTACCGGAAAAGGTAGGTACCAGTGGGAAACATGAGACATCGCTGATTGGACGACGGCGCCGTTTGACCCTTGAACCGGAAGTTACATCGTCTGAACAGTCCAGCTTCTTTTAAGTGTGTCTTCAGTGTACGCAAACTAACTGAAATTTGGTGCTTAGTCTTGAGTATATCCAGTATCACCTCGTACGTATGTCCTGATTCAAAATATTCCTGGATAACGGCAGCTATGTTTGGGGCGCCGACAATATCCATGTTTTCAAAAGCCGCAGCAGGCAGAATGACTTCCGGTTCAAGGGTCAAAGGGCGCCGTCGTTCAATCAGCGATGTCTCATGTTTCCCACTGGTACCTACCTTTTCCGGTAGGTTAATGTAGTTTTGTTTTTCTTAATGTTGTTGTGCTTTGCTTTATGTAGTTTTGTTTTTCCTTAATGTAGTTGCGATTTCCTTAATGTAGTTGCGCTTTTAGATTTGTAGTTGCAGTTTGCACTTCAGGGCCACCGTACAATATCCTCTATTCAGAAAGTCCTATTTTAGTTTCACCTGGTTTGATTTAGCAAAAAATCTTCTTTTGCTATCTGATTATTAATCAATTAATTGAAAAAATAATCGACAGATGGGCAAAATAATTTTTTTTTACATTGATAGTGATGAAGACATATATTGTGCTCATTAATGAAGGTCTTCTGTGTGTTTTCCTCATGTTCTCCTGCAGCCTTGTGTCCTCATGAATAACGTGCAGCAGCTGAGAATCCAGCTGGAGAAAATGTTTGAATCAATGGGTGCCAAACAGGTGAGTGTGAACACGAAAGGTTAACAGGTACGCGTCGTAGCTCAGAGTGTCTGGAGTACTAAGGATTCATGCAGAAATGTACAAAATGCTTTTAATCAGCATTAAAATTTGCTCCTTTATGTACCAGACTGCAACAGAGGAAGCACGGGTATGTACTGCAGCTCTAGGCTGGATTGGTTAGTAGGTGAAGGGTGTTGGTCGATCAGTGCTGGGCTTTAGTACTTTATTTACATTAAATGTAGATCTGCATACTTTAGATCTGCTTAATAAGTGAACTATAGTTGCATTTTGGTTGAACAATGACTGGATTGTGAGTTTTCGGCATTGAAGTTCTTATGGATCAATTCATGTATTCATTTTACAATTAAGAGAGATGAAATCATAGAGGAGGCGGATGAGGAGGAGGGAGGTGCAGAAGAGGAGGTAGGTTTCAACCACAGTCCCTTTAAGGCAAATTTTCACTCAGTTAAAGCACGTCTGCATTGATCTCTTCTGTTTGCCTTTGCTTTAAACAGCTTGTTGTTACAAAGGATGAGGAAACAAAACCTGCGGTGGGTCGTGTGAAATTTGGCGTTTGATGAGCCGTTAGTAGTTAGCCTGTAGAGTTCATCCCAGATGGAGCAGTAGTGTTAGTTGCATTGTAGTTTATTTTATTAGATTCTGCTTTTTTTCTGCTGAAATGTCGCTGCTTTGCTTGTGTGGCTAGTCACCTTTAATCGCTGCTATTGTAGAAACCAGCAGCTAGCATAGTGGCTACAGACACGATCAGTTCCATCTGATTATTTGCACATTTAGAACCAGAGAATACTTTAACAACAGTAATAAAGTCATTGTTTCTATCCTAGCAGACTAAAGGCGGGGCTAAACCTCTGTGGGGCCGTAATCAGAATTCAATTTAGGGACCCTGCCATCAGCGGTCCGATGATCTGATGATTCACACCTCCTATAAACTCATTGCAGCTCGGGCGATGCTGTTTACAGGCTTCTATTTGTTCGAGCATTCAGATAGATTCATGTGATTTATGTTTTTTGGCTGATGCACATGGAGGCATATTTTCTGACTGTCAGATTAATCAGCCTCAGTGAGTTAACTGTAACTTGTTACTGTTTTAATGTTAAAGGTTTTCCATCTAGCTTTATTTGTTTACAAAAGTGCAAACAAAACCTAAAAGTCTTTGAATTTCGTTTATTTAGTGAAGAATTAGCTCAAATGTTGTTCATTTTAGGTGACAAAACCCTAATTGATTAGCCTTTTGAGCCTGAAGGGTTGATATGGCTATCCGCCCAGGGCGCTTTTCTGATTGGGACGACCTTAACACTAATTGTTTTTTTTTTTTTTT